ATAAACAGAAGATTTAACTGCTTTTATTAATTCAACGTGACTAATAAACACACGACTACGACAATATATGGTTTATCCGAGTTCGTCTTATTATAATTTTTTATTATAATAAAGTATATAATAATGCAATGCTAATCGACATAGCCTTTATCACTGCTTAGAATACTATGAAATATGTTGCGTGCCTTATTCTGTGTAAGAAGCCACATCATCTCACAGAAGGATTTATTTCAAACACTCGACTGACGTTATGAAGTGAGTTTGGAGTAAAAACATGTTATTAAATGTGGTATTTTCACGTGCTTTCAGATGGAACAGCATTTGCTACACAGAGCCATAGTTCACTGACAAGCTACGCAAACAGCTTTCATAAATCGCAGAACGATTTCTTTGATTTCATAATTGCGCGATTACATCGTCTGCGATTATGAATGCCATTTTACGTAGCTTGTCAGTAAACTACGGCTCTGTCTAGTAAATGCTGCTCCATCTGAAAGCACATGCTGGAGATTTACTACTAATCACAGAACCGGCTTTACTGGCAAGATGCGCATGACAATCGCATTTGATTAATCGTGCAGCCCTACCGTACAGTATTTCATTTGCAGTCGCTAAATAAGTGAGCCATGCCAAAAAGCAATTGAACCAAACGATTTCTAATAGAAATGCAATGATACCATAAGAATGTCTATCATACACTCACACACGTATATAACGAAAAATATTGCCAATAACACCAGTAATCTCTCTAGATACAGCCCAAACTGAAAGAATTAAAAGAGCTCTTGTCTCTCCTTGCGCTGTCATTTTTACAGAGCAAAGCAACCAATCAATAGTGAGGCGGGCATGGCAGACTCCAGCTGTAATCCTCAAAATATTCTTATGTGGATTAGCTTCTCCCCCAGCCATTTTCATTTTCAATCTGTAAGGTATTAGTCTGACAGCCAAGTGGAGCAAAACAAATAATACACACTTCAAAGAGGAAAAAAATGTCTAATAACAGCAACCTGGTTAAGCTACTCTTGCCTTTTCTCTATTTTCATATAAACTTATTTGCTGCAGGTCCTAAACAAATTATACATCCTATATGCTGTGTATTAAACGTTCATCTGATTTGAAAGCATTATCGCTGGCTAATGGAAACTGAGGGATTCCCTGAAATATGAGGCTTTTGTCAAAGAAGGGCTATTAAGCATAAGCTTCTATGCTTTGCATTTAAAGACACTATGTGGAAACACCAGAGCACAATTAGACAATGCTTAAACCCTCAAAACAACAGGCACGGAAGAGACTTTAAGCATTTAAAGAGTCCGAAGGGGCAGTAAGAGCAAATGGAGATTTCGCACAAACTTGGAAGCAAAGTAGCTGGTATATAGGAATCACTGGGGCAAGTTGTCACGTGCTGTAGGCATTAGAGTAATTATAAGTGAAAAGTACAATTAGACAAATGCATGTTTTCTCTTGCAGTGGTTTAGAAATGCTAGTTTAAAACATCTAGTTCAATCCCTTTTTAATGAAGAAAAATTTTATTAAATTAATTTAAACTAATATATTCAAAGATCACCATTTTGCTAGTCATAAACACAATAAACATACATTCAGAAAAAAGTTAACCATTCAAAGATCATATACATGATGACATGATATTTTTCCCCTCTCTCTCTGTTAAAATATTGACTGACACCAACACATTTGTTCAAGTAATGATAGAGTAACCACAAAATGTTTGCAGAAATAACTGTAATACTCATCACAGCTCTGAAAAGACTCAAAATTTTTAAGACAAGTGGTGACACACCAAATAATAGATATTATTGTGACGACATCAGAACGATGAAAAGATCACTATAATTATTTAATGTCAGTAGCGCATCATCTTGAGGGGAAATCTCGAAATTTAGATTAAAAAAACGGTTTTCCACGCTGTATTTCTGAACCCAGTATCGCTTGGCACTGAGCATCTCAAAGAACGTATTTCTTAGTAGAGTCCCTTGTTTTGACAATGTGTGTTTCCAATAACTGACTCTGCCTCCTCCAAAAGTAAAATAATCTTTGTTCTCCACACCTTATTTGCCCAGCTTATTTACACACACCATCTACACTGCAAACGAGCGACGCGGCAAGCGTAGAACCTCCACATACAATCGACGCAAAGCGACAAAAACTACGCTCCCCTTATAAACAACGAAGCGATTCTTGCATTATAGTCAGATGCAGCTTACGAACAGACGCAGCAAGAGCGGCGACCAAGACATTATTATGTTTCCAAGTGAAAAGACCTGCACTTGTTGACTCGGTTTGAACACTTCGACTGCTGTTGGCCAGAAAAATTATTCTGTAAAAGAAAGTGGATATACAACATATGAGCGGGTAAATAAACGGTTAGTCGGTTACTTAAGAGAGCTGCGTTAAATAACGGGAAATCTTGGCAGTGCCACGAGCATCAAAACATTCCCTCAGCAGCGAAGACTGCGTGTTATTCTAATGTTTAGAAAAACTGAAGTGTTTGTTTTTAAAACAAAACTGCTACTGCAGCCCCTGTAGTTTACTATTTGAGCAATGACTGTTTATAAATATCCAGAAGTAAGAACAAGTACAGAGAAACAGTGTGCGGATGCTGCCAGTTTAGATCGAGCGGTCACACATACAGTATGCGCTACTCTAACTTAAAGGGACAGATCACCCAAAAATGACAATTCTGTCATTCATTCACCCTCATGTTGTTCCATATGGAAACTCAAAAGCAGTACGGCTTTATTTTTTTTCGTCGGGCACAAATGGACATGCAAAAATGTTAGGGACTGACAGCCTCGGTCACCATTCACTTTCAATGCATCTTTTTCCATACACTAAAAGTGACTTTGTGACCGAGTCATTCTCTCTCACATCTCATTTTGTGTTCCCCAGCAGACATACAGATTTGAGACAATATGAGGAACAGTAAATGACGACTATTCTAATTTTAGTGAACTGTCCCTTTAAAGCAAAGACATTGTTGTTGTTTTTTTTAAATGAAACAAAAGCGTTCATGCATATTCCTAAACTTTAAGGAACTCATTCGCCGGCGTATGCGAGCTGCATGAAGCCAATGTAGATGATGTGTGCTGTCCGTGATGCATGTAAATGCTCTATCTTGTTTCCACAATCCATTTCAATGACTTGCAAACTCGTAAAGGCTCAAAAAGACTGCGATTCATAAAATGTGTTTCGAGATCCACACACAGGAGTAACTGAAAGAACCATCAGCTGAGGTTCAAATCCATTACATTAATCAATCCAAACAGAAGCTGTTATTTCAGAACGATGATGCTGAGCTTTGCGTTCAATAAAGGTCAGTGTATGTTCCGCGCTCCAAAAGCCTGCTAATATCGTGATAAAAGCTCTACAGTGGGCTATATCTGGGTAGGCTACATGTGCTGGTAAAACAATGTTAGTTTTGTGTAAAGAGAGAAACATCCCGCTTCTCCCTCACGAGAGACCCGCAGCTAAAGCAACTGGAAAACATCTGCAGACTTTATCGCGTCAAAGTTAACAGAAAGGATGAGAAAAATCGGCATATTGCTCGAACGTTTCAGTTTGAACAACACATATATCTTAACTTTGTAACACATCGGTACTTTGAACTATTACTTTCGATCAAAGACGCCACACTGTGTACAGATCTCCGGCTCGCGGCGATTGTCCGTCGCGCTGGCTCAACCATTTCTGCCTTAAAATACAAGCAGATTAATCCAAAAGCACAGTTCCTACCTTTATGGATAGCTGCCGAAATGGTGAATAAAATGAGGAGAGTAGCGAGAGATCCGTTGCTCGTGTTCGCCATGTTGGACACCTGCTTCATTCTGAAGCTCGTGAGTGAGTTGAGCTTCACCTAGAGCAACGGGAGCTGTGCGTCAGGAGATGCTGGGAAAGGGCGGGAACAAATACCCATTCAAAAAGAACGTCAACACATTTAATACAGCCCTTATAATGAACCGTGTCTCTTGATGTTATCGAATAGAATCATTTTTGTGTCGTAATTTAAAGACAAATTTGTTTGTTTCCGGAAAAACTCCCTGTTGATCAGAAGAAAAAGGGGCCTCCACAAAAAAAGTACCATGGTAACCATATAGTTTCCGGCAGAATGCCATAGTGCAGTTACTACAGTTACTGTCTACAGCTACTATTGGTAATAAAGCCATAGGCTACATTAAATACCATACATAAAATATAATTACATTAATATATATTTTTTGGGATATTCATACTTCATAATAATAATATTACTAATAAAATTTGCAGTTGTGATAATACCACTGTCGCTGTACTAACTAGCCTATAAAAATATTTAAGCAGGAACTATGGTTACTATTAACTGTTCCCACTGTAACAATATAATGTCTTTAGAGGAAAAGAGTGCCTCTAGTGGCGTCACCTAGCGTCTCTGTCTCTCTCTCTCTCTCTCTCTCTCTCTCTGTTTTTGAAAGTCTCATGCTCACTAAGGCTGCATTTATTTGATCAAAAATATAGTAAAAACAGCAATAATGTGAAATATTATTACAATTTAAAATAATTTATAATAATAATGTAATTTAAATGTATTAAATTCAAATTAAATTGATATTCCTGTGATGGCAAAGCTAAATTTTCAACAGCCATTACTCCAGTATTCAGTGTCACATGATCCTTCAGAAATTATTTTATTATTATCAAAGACATTTATAATGTTGCAAAACATTTTTATTTCAAATTATTTTTTTCCCCTTTTGAACTTTTTTGAAGATTTCTGAAGGATCATGTGACACTGAAGACTTGAGGAATGACTGCTGAAAATTCAGCTTTGCCATCACAGGGATAAAATAAATTAAATTTTTTCTATATACAGTTAATATATATATACAACATTGTTTTAAATTGTAATAATATTCCACATAATAAATAAATAAATACATACACTCAACGTTTTGGATGACATGGGAATAGGGATAGAAAGTTTCTAAAACCCCCAAAATTAGATTTTCCTCTGAATGTGGACATAAAGATGTAATAAAATGAAATAAAATAAATGGATGATATATGGTAAGGAAAATACAAAAGAGAAAGACTTGAATATGACAGTTTATCAGAAGCACATTGCTAAGAGGTGTAAACAGTTCATAAGTATTCAGAGAAAAAACTTCCTGTCTGGTTCAGATATCTCCTCCCTCAATATGAAAGGGATTTCTCATCAACATAATTATGTTGACTTTTTAATAAAAGTTAATTGTGCTTTCTCAAATTGACTCACAGTTGCAGCCAAGGTTGCAAATTGATAAGGTAATCCAGGTAGCTCTACCCTTGGTGGCTCATTATGCTAATTCACTTGGAAGGCTCACAGGGCAAGTGCTTTGATTTTCTGGATATGAACAGGAATTAAAGAAATGTTTATACAAGATTCAGATTTTGATGATACACTCTAATGCTTATGGCTGAACGTGTCTTTCCGTGCCTTCCCAGGTCCATTTTTACAGTAATTGTGGCAGGAATTATAGGGCGTAGTGACTGATGGGTCCTGGAAAATCAGATAAATTTAGAAAGACCAAAAGTAGAAGTAAGCAAAGAAGTGCTTCCTCTTGACTTGGAGTTTTCCTCTCTTAAGGATTACTTTATAATACGCATAAAGTTCACTCTGCTTTAGTTAGACAGAGATCAGGGAGAGGTTTCTTGTGTTAAGATTTCAAAAGTTTTGTTTTATGCTGCCTTCTGCGGTCATAATTACGAGTTAGTCATGTTCAAGTGCTTTATTGTCAGAAAGAATAGGAATCATGGGGGACACCAGGTTAATTCGTGTGCATTTCTTGGGGAAATCTTATTAAAGAATATTGAAGATATTTAACCAATATCCATAGATTTTGAATAAAATGTAGCGTTTTATTTGCTGACAACCATATTACTCACACTATTGTATACATTCACTGCGCTATTGAGATAATCTTGTAGACAGTTCTGAAGTTTCAAATAAATGCTAGATACATAGAATATGCATCAAACGATTGTTTATATACATACATACATGACTGTAATGGCAAGAGAAAACATACGCACTCTTTCATACAGCCATCAGATGCACTGTTGTCAGTGATGTAAAATACATTTTAGGGTACATCTTTCCTATCAAAGCCTGAGTTAGATGAAAGAAACACCCCAGAGGGGGCAACAGACTGCACAAACTTATGTCAGAGTCAAACAGTCACGTTTTGACCTTCCTGTCCTAAAGTTTCATTTTTTTGTTCCTCAGGAAAATCACTATGAGAGCTCTTTAGTTAATGAAATCTTCCTGTTATTTATTGATTTGCCTCAAGGGTTTTGTTCTTGCTTGCAAATAAGTGATATTCATTTGGTATCAACACTAGAGTGCACACATTGTCCCATGATACTAACTCAGCAGGGCTCCTCTATAATTATTCACTTAATGACTTTCCCAAAGCACATGATTGTGACAGAAAAAAAAAAGATATTAACTCTAAATGAAGGATTTGTACAGTAGAAACATTTGGCTTAGGGGTTGAATAACTTTGTGAAAAATAAGCTATATTGCAAAGCAATACTGCTCCAATAATTCTCCATGCATGCATGATAAAATATATATTATGCTCATTAAAAAAAAACAATAAAACAATAAAGCTAAATCTTATGCTTCACAATGTACTGTTTATCATAAACTCATCTACAGCATTTATACTGTACACTCTTTTTGTTAAAATATTTTTGTTAAAATACTTACATCATTTGTAAAACGTGCTAAATTTGATGCAAAGTTGAAACAGCCGACAGCTGATTTTTAGTTAGTTTTATTTATTTATTTATTTATTCACAGTAAAAAAAAAAAAAGTCAACTTAAGAGTCAACTTAAAAATATGTTAACCCACTGCCTTAAAATTGTTTATCTCATTTATTTATTTTATTTTATTTTTTGGTGTGATGCAGCTGTTTCAACGTGCGTTTTTAAGTTGAAACAACAGTTACTCTAGTTCATTCAACTTTCAGCTTAGTTGAGGGCCAATAAACTTAAATTTTCCTGTTGTCTGGACAATTGATAAAAAATGTATGTCTACAAAAAAAATTGAAATGGCAAAATCTCAAAATTATTTATTACAGTGTTCATTCATTCAGACTTATTGAACATATGGAGACAACAGAAAACAGAGCGATTTATTATTATTATTAAAGTAAAGTGGCTATGGTATAGTTGTAACGTTAATTTTAACGTGCATAGTTTCACTTCCATTGTAAGTGCTTTAGCTACTGCAACAACCAAGGGATGAGTTGAATTATTTTCTGTGGTAATCAAATTGATCTCACAAATACTGTTAGTTTAAGCTTTACTCTATTCAATGAATAGCTCAATTTTGGCTCTAGTGATTCCCTTATGCTGAAATGATCCTTTGTTGGCCATGAAAGTATTTACAGATGCTCTTTTTATTTATGGAACCAATAGAAGGTTACTACAAACCTAATCTGGTGCCAGTTGCATGCATAAACTACTTAGTCATCTAATTTTTTTCTTCAAGACTGGTCATAACTTTTGTGAAGTCAATTACATAAAAAGTTGATTGGTCTTATTTAAATCTGAAAGCTAAAACTGAGTTCCAAACTGTTAGCTGGTCAAACTAGTTCTTAAAACACAATCTTAACATAGTGGCTATGTTTATGCAACTGGCCCCTGGTGTTTTTATGAGCATTTCTCTTAACATATAACCAAGTTCTGCTGCTTTACTCATACTGTAGCATCTACATGGAAAACAGTTTTGTTCATGTCAGTTATTTTTTAGTTTTGCCACAGTCGTGTCCTCTGTTAGTCATGTGATTCCCTGTTCCTTCATGTGTCATGCTTTCCTTGGTTTATTAGGCTTGTTCGACTTCAAAAGCAATGCATTCTGGTTAGAACATTTGTCCGACTTCAGAAATAAGTCGCCGCCTTACGATCACATGTGCCATCAACAGGGGCGCATTAACGCACAGGCTTTAAGTGGCTGAAGCCCAGGGGCCTACACTTGGGTGGGGCCTACTGGCTGCTGGGAAATTATATTTTTCAAATAAGTATTTGTATATATATGGGAATTTGCAGCAGTAACAACAGCATTCTGTTAACAAACGTACGCACTAATTTTCAGCGACGCCCTGCTTGTAGTATTTGTAGTGAATGGTTCAGTTTAGGTTACCCCCACACAGTTTGTATAGTTGGTATGTTCCACCGATATGTTAACGTGCAGCTTAACAAGAAACACAACACTGCTGTGTGAAAGGAACCGGACCGGACAACTTTCTGTAACATCATATAGTGCGACTAAAGAAATGTACAAATGTGTGGATATAATGTGTAAGCTGAAGGTTTTAGAGAGGTGCTGCTTCAAAGTCTCCATTTTAAATCCGGGGATGGAAAAACAGGAACCCTATTGCTTAAATGTGATCATTATACTTTAAATGGCTATGATTTAATTAATCAAACGCGAGCACGGCATGTTTCAAAATAAAAACGCAGTTAGCAATCCACAAATAGCTCACATTTATGCCAACTTGCCAACTTTTGTTTCAATCTACTGTTGATGAATAATGAATATTTTGTGTAATTTATGGTGTTTAAATCATACCTGTAAACTCACATTTCGGCCAGGAAAGATTTGATGGCATTTTCTTTTCGTATAGTTTACTTTATGTAAAGGCTATAATACTGCTGTTCCACAAGCGCCACCTTCTGGCAAAGAGTGAATGTGCATATTCACTTACATTCACATTTTACACAGAATACCGTAATGCTGTAGCCCAGGGGACTCTGCAGTGGTGTAGTGGAGGGTATATGCAGGTATACAGCGTATACCCACTTCTTTATCAGTCGACTTTGCATATACCCACTTCTAAATCCCCTCATTACTTGACT